TAGATAGATAGATAGATAGATAGATAGATAGATAGATAGATAGATAGATAGATAGATAGATAGATAGATAGATAGATAGATAGATAGATAGATAGATAGATAGATAGATAGATAGATAGATAGATAGATAGATAGACAGATAGATAGATAGATAGATAGATAGATAGATAGATAGATAGATAGATAGATAGATAGATAGATAGACAGACAGACAGACAGACAGACAGACAGACAGACAGACAGACAGACAGACAGACAGACAGACAGACAGACAGACAGACAGACAGACAGACAGACAGACAGACAGACAGACAGACAGACAGACAGACAGATAGACAGATAGATAGATAGATAGATAGATAGATAGATAGATAGATAGATAGATAGATAGATAGATAGATAGATAGATAGATAGATAGATAGATAGATAGATAGATAGATAGATAGATAGATAGATAGATAGATAGATAGATAGATAGATAGATAGATAGATAGATAGATAGATAGATAGATAGATAGATAGATAGATAGATAGATAGATAGATAGATAGATAGATAGATAGATAGATAGATAGATAGATAGATAGATAGATAGATAGATAGATAGATAGATAGATAGATAGATAGATAGATAGATAGATAGATAGATAGATAGATAGATAGATAGATAGATAGATAGATAGATAGATAGATAGATAGATAGATAGATAGATAGATAGATAGATAGATAGATAGATAGATAGATAGATAGATAGATAGATAGATAGATAGATAGATAGATAGATAGATAGATAGATAGATAGATAGATAGATAGATAGATAGATAGATAGATAGATAGATAGATAGATAGATAGATAGATAGATAGATAGATAGATAGATAGATAGATAGATAGACAGATAGACATATAGATAGATAGATAGGAACAGAGCTAAAAACCGACAAGTCTCATGCAATAACGGTCTTAAACCCCGTTTCTAATACCCTGCGTTTCCAACGTTAACATTGTGCAAACAAGCCGTCTTTGCTTGTTCCTGTAAACACTTTTCATAAAAATGGTTTTATGATCTTCATTGCTCTTACTGTGTCGCATTCTCTCCTCATGCCTGTGAAACAAGCAATTAAAGGATGTACTCAGGCATTAAAATTGCGCAGTTTGGGTCATTAACTTATAGTAAACGTATCAGTTTCTCCTTTCGGGAATTAATTATACTCATTCCGATGCAAGATGTATGTTATTATAAATATTATCTTGCATTTATTAGCAGCTGTGTTAGGTCACCTCCACATTCGTAAAACTTTATCTCGTCACGAAATAGATATCTAAGCCTTGATTTCGGATGGATTTAAACGGACAACGAACCTGAAACGTAAAATGACTTTTAAGATTTGGAACATGGAATGTACGAACTCTTTTTAGAGCTGAAGCAGCTGAAGAACTGACCCGTGAGGTATCAAAATATAGAATGGATATAAAAGCAATACAACAAGTAAGATGGCCATGGGGACCATAAAGGAAAATGGAATGACCATAGTGTATGAAGGAAACACTCAAACAAACATGAACTAGGGACAGGATTTGTTATCAAGAAAAAGATGTGGGAAAGCATTATGAAGGTTGAAGATGATGTAAAGATTTCTATGATCTTAAGAATATCATAGATGAAGCTAAAAACGATGCATATTAATGGTTTTATGAGATTTCAATGCAAATATAGGAAGGAAAAAAAAAAACACTTATACAAATGTAGCAGGAATGGAAAACCTTCATACTAATTCAAACGATAATGGATGGAGATTAATTAACCATGCCGTAACGAAAGAACTACAAATAAGCAGCCCCAGATTTCAAAGAAACGATATACATCAACAACCTGGCAATCATGTGACTGGATTACTTATGACCAGATAGATCACATTTTAATAAATAATAGAAATGCATTAAACGTACAAGTTAGAAGTTACAGATGAGTTGAGCGTCATGGTTACCATTGTCTGGTTGGTGCATATTTAAAAATCAAGTTAAACAAATCCTTCTACACCAAATTGCAAAAATCACCCAGAGTGCAAAAAAAAAAAAAAAAAAAAAAAAAAGATTACAAGAAACATCCATATGACAGAAATTTGGAGATGAATTAAAACATAAAATTGAAATTTTACAAATTCCGTCAGAGGAAGACGTTGGCCAAACCTGGATGGATATTAAGAATATAATTCAAACCACTGAAGAAGAATGTCTCGGTGTGTCCACCATAAACAGAAAAAAAACAAATGATTCGACTAAAAAAATGTGAAGAAGCAATCAGTAAGAGAAAAACATGACAGGCAGATTAGGTTAAATGATGCTAGTAACATACGAAACGAAGAGAAGAATAGAACAGAATGTTAAGAAGTTACAAAAGTAGACACCAAAAGCGAGTATACATGAACAACATTATCATGGATATGGAAGCTAATCATCAGAACAACGAATCCAGAAAGTTTTTTGAAGAACTAAAGACTGTAAAAAGAGGATATCGACAAAGCATTTATAGTTTAAAAGATCACAATGAAAACATGATACATAATAATGAGGAAAAATGTAACAGATGGAAGGGATACTTTGCTGAATTGGTAAACTGTGAAACCCCACTTAATACTTATCCACATGAAGAGATATTAACATGTGAACCAAATATTAAAGCGCTTGATTTTGTAAACGTGCTGTATGTCATAACACAGCTTAAAAAAATAGAGCAACTGGTGCTGATGGAATTGGAGCTGAACTTTAAGGTGTCTTTATTATTACTCATTTTTTAAGAAAAGAGACAAATATAAGTTTGAAAATTATAAAGGAATATCACTGTTATTTACAAGCTATAAAATACTTTTGGCGTTACTGCTAAACAGGCTAAAAACCTTACGTCGAAGAAATATTGGGAAATTACCAAGCGGGTTTCCGACAGAAAAGTTTGACAATAGATCAGATATTCTTTTTATGGTCAAATAGCAGAGCAAAATTTGGAATAGAGAAAAGATGTACATAATGTGTTTGCAGATTTTAAAAAGGAACATGATAATGTTCATAGAAACAGTTTATGGAATGCTATGAAGGACTTTGGAATACCAAAAATGTTAGCATGAACAAACTATGTATGGAAGACACTTGTAATAAAGCAATATATAATTGCAGAAAGTCATACCCTTTTCAAATAAAATATGTTTTAAAGCAAGGTAATGCTCTGTCCCCACTTCTTTTCAACTTGGCCCAGGGGAAAATTATAAGGAAATTGAAAAAAAAGTACTACACGAGAAACTACAAGAATACTTGTGACATTGCTTTCGTTTAAGAAAAGACAGAATACATGATAATAGCTAGACAGGGAAAGGATACAAACCCCCGCCACACACAAGTCGATAATATAAAAATCAAACGAACATAAACATATAAGTGCTTGAGTGCAAACTTCAACTGCTCCAACATGCTCAGAGAAGAAATCAAATCTAGAATACAGTCTGGAAATAAAGTATACTATGTCCATCAACATCTGCTAAAGTCAAAGTGTATGTTTCGCAACACCAAGATCAAAATATATAAAACGTTGATAAGACCAGTCGTGTTATATGGCTCTGAAACTTGGAGCAAAGCTAAAAGAGATAAAGCCTTATTACAGGTTTTGGAAAACGGAGTCTACGACAAATCTTTGGACCAATCAAAGATGCAAACAGCGGTGAAAGGAGAGTGATAAGCAACAACGACATTCATAATCTGTTTAAATCACCAGTGATCACTGGCATCATGAGAGCTAATAGACTGAAATTGTTAGGGCATATTAAAGAATGTCAGATGACAGAGAAGTAAAAACTGTATACACCAGGGAGATGAATGGTCGTAGACCACGAGGGAGACCAAGAAGACGATGGAGAGATAATATCCAGACAATCCTGCAAACACTTGGTGTCACCAACTGGAAAGAAAGGGCCGACTAGAGAGCTGGAATAAGACTGGTGATTTCTGCCGCAATAAACCTCAAGGGCTCGGAATGCTGAAGAAGAAAAAGAAGAAGTGTTAGGTCACCGTAGATCAGTGGTTCTTTTCTAATGCCGCCACCCTTTAATACATTTCCTTATGTAGACAAATTTAGTAGTTTGTCATTGCTTTCTAGAAGGTCGCCTTTTTAATACCAATGTAGAAACCAACGCAAGGAGCAAGGCCTACTCGGCATCACGAGGCGTGTTCGCAATATCTTAGCCACAAAAGCCGACCGCTACTTCATAGCTACAATGAATATTTGTTTTACGGTTGTCTTTGGCGATCCATGTGAAATGGTCGTTCGATCCAAAAAAGGATTGCGACCCATAGGCTGAAAATCGCTGCCGTAGATAATTACGAGCTGCTTCGCTTGGTTCACGAGTGCAATGTTATCGGGGATTCCTGGAAATCCATTCTCCGAAAAGACACAAAGATGTTAGGGATACAGACAAGCACAATGAAGTCAAATATTTCAACTTATAAATCTTTAAATGTTGAATGTTGAATTATGAATCGACATCTCGGCACACAGGACACTCCCTTAGGCTCTCCGTCCCCATCTTCAGCTGCAAGCGAAGAGTTCCAATTCCCATGACACCAGTAACTGATAGTATATCCGCCTCCTTTCCCCTGGGTGTTGTAAGATCCCCTTCTAACTCCCCGCAGCGCCATTCTTCCCAGACCGTAATGATCTATATGTGCCTCCACACTGTTCAATCGCTCTCAAAAAGCCCTAACAACATCCAGTCTGTCATACATCACTGCAAGTCTGTCTACCTGCTCATTGTCCAACACACCGGCGTGACCTGAAGAAAATATCCAAAGGATGCTAACTACCCGGGCCTCTGAAGTGATGCTTGCCACTGCACGGAGTATGCCTGTCTCCACGTTTCTCAATATGCTCTGCGAATCAGTTACAATGACGACATGTGTGTACAGCGTATTAAATTTTAGCGATAGTACCTAACTTTCTATTTTATTTTCCTAGGGTATAGAGACTACATTCATAAACCTGAATACTTCACAGTTTTACTTCACTGCACAGACCAGAACGATCAGGAAATTAGAGACGCCAGTAAGTCAATATATACATGTTTGGTTGGTTTGTTTTTGATTTTTTTTTTTTTTTTTTATTATTCGTTCGTTCATTGGTCGGTTGACTGAATGGTTGTTTAGCTATTTGATTGTTTGGCTGGCTGCATGATCGGTTTAAGGGTTGGTTGGCTTGTTTGGTTGTATGATTTGTTGATAAGTTTATTGGATTGGTATAATGGTTGGCTGATTGTCTGTTGCTTCATTGCTTAACTGTCCGACTGCTTGATTAAGTTGACTGATTTGAAAAAAGCTCGGAGTGAAGATAATGATCCGGCACTGTGACGTGACGGGTGGTTTAAATGTGTATAATGTTGAGTAGGGATGTTCCTCTCAACACATTCCCTCCACCAGATAAACCAAACTAAAATCTGAGCTATGTTGCTCTCAGACAAAGTCCTGGATATCCAAGAAAACAGCCATATTGGCTCGTTAAGTACATTAACATTAGCTGCACTTGGTACCCACAAGAGAAGAAAAGGAATTTTAGATGTCTATAGCATTATATTAAATGAATTATTAGACAGGGCAAATGATTCCTCCGTCATCTACCTTCTCCCGGTGTTATTATTAATAATTACAGAATTATTATATTATTTTAGCCCCCACCAAATGGTATTCTATCTTAACAGTTTAATTAAACATGTAAGAACAGACATTTGGAATTACAAAAACTGATGCAGGATAAAACTTGACATACAGCTTTATTTACTAAAATGAACTTCCCAGTTTGTTGATTTACCCAAACAGTGACTGGCTACAGTTATAATAATTATAGAGGTAAGCTTCAGCGAGAAAACAGCTCCGGGGTTTAGAGTGGTATGATGATGATAGTTAAGTCAAAATTTGTTAACATAGCTTATAAGCCTCTGACAGCCGTGAGGAACTGTCAAGCTTGTCCAACTCTTCCTTGCCTGTTTTCTGCCTGTTTCAGCTTATTCTCCACTTCATCCCCACCTCGTTCTCCACCTCGTTCTCCACCTCGTTCCCAGCTGGCCGAGTCTAACACAATGTAGTCTCTTTCATGGACTGATCGTCACATGGGCGCTGTAATCATGGAAACAAACACATACGTGTAGTATCTTGACTTACACTAAGAATACATGTATCAATTAATACAACATATAATAATAAGATATATCCCATCACTCCTCCTCATATTCAACATGCTCTCCAGTCTAGTCTGAAGGTCTTTTGTCTTACATGGACGTCACATATCCTGACTTCCCTCTTCATGCTATGTCATGATAGTTGACTTCCTAAGTCTGTTGTCCGTCTTCACTCAGACTTCCAATCATTGTTTTTACATCAACACGTGGGGCAGGTTATGTGCTGAAACTCCAACCATTTTATATGTGCATGTTGTCCTGAATATTATCTTTCAGTGACAGTAAATACGGTACACCCATCATTCTTCCCCTGGGGTTATAAATCCCCTGTTCAGGTGAACACCTTAAGTGAGCACATGGTGGGCACACAAAACGTAACAGCATCCCTACACATATGGGCATGATTTCCCACAGTCCAAACTCATATTTTGGCTGATCATGGAAACAATATAATTACATTTCATTATAGCAAATGTCATTGTTCACATCTTATTTTATACACATGAAAACATACAATGAAAAACATGTGACACAAACATACAAGAAATAGGAATAGTTTAGCAGTTCCCTAACTGAGATACTGAATACTCACAAAGAACTATTTCAAGCAGAATGTGCAGACAAATTAGGAAAAGGTAGTATAGACTAAGCTTAACTCCCTAACCTATGTATACAAGATTAAAATTAATTATCTTACCTGGGAACTTTCCATCAATCGCCAAAACAGAATGCGACCGTAAAATACCTTTACGTCGACCTGTGTTTGTTTGCCGGCAGGCTGCGATTAATGACGGGAATTCCACAGGCTCGAAGTATAAGTATCAATCTATTGTCCAAATTAATCTCCTCCCTTTCCTCGGTTCTACCCAACCCTCAAGACGATGACTTAAGCCCAGCCTCTGAAGTACCTTATCAGATCAAATTAGCTAACAAGTGGCCTGTCAGTCAATTCTGGACTGACATCCCTAGAGCAAACAGTCTTAAGTGACCCAATCTAGTTTACAACGAATCTAACTAGCCGGTGTGAAAACGGTCTGTGAAGCCATTGTGTTTACTACTTGACCCAGATCAAACAGTCCTAATTGCCAAACACCTGTTCTGCCAAGAATTACACTGACTTGCGAAACTCCGACCTCCCGGCTCCACAATGTCTCTACAGTCTGGTCAGAAGATAAGATTCTGACACTGGCGTGAGAATCACCTAACATCCCTAGTCTGAACCAGCGGGCTGTATTACGTAGTGTTAGGTAATTTTAAACAAAGCGCAGTGGCTTGGTCTCGGAGAAGGACGGGTAACAATTAACTCCGTGCGGTTCGAAGTAACATTAATAACCAGAAGAACTTAATACAAGTACTAACTTCTGGAACCACTGAGATCGTATCGTGACAGGCACCAACGTAAAATATCTACTAAGATGTAGCAGAGTTTCTTGTCGCCTCAACAAGATCAGGACTGTTAAAAGTTTGAGAGGCAAAAAGGAATAACTCTATATCTACAGAGAAGTAAACTAAGATACATCCCAAGCATCCAGCCCATGTATGTATGCACTATTTAATAGTTGTATATACGTACATTTGTATGTAAGTGTGTGTGTGTGAATAGGTACCGTGTGTGTGCATGCCTACGTATATCAGTATGAAGGTAAGTACATTCAGCTCTATCAAGCACCCATCTTTCCTGCAGCAATTGTAGGTACGTGGGTAGGCATGTGTGTATACTGGTAGGTATGTTGGTAAGTGGGTTGGTAGTTAGGTGGGTAAGTTTAATGGATATTTGGTTTATTTCTTGGTTGATGGTATGCAGGTTCGTTGGTTAGTGGCTGTGTAGACAGGTAAGAATGGAGGTATCTAAATATATTAGAATAAACACATCATAGTTCAACTAAACATAACCTTTGACCCGTTAGGGTAGTGAAGGTGTATCGATGGAAGCACAAAAACACATATCCCGACATCTTTCTCAGTCTTCCCCTTATTGAACAAGTGTATAATGATTTAGTCCATTTCTTTATGTTGTCATTCACGGCAATTCTTTTCCATCCTCTTCTTCGACCACCCCCCAAAATGTCTTGAAATTTTTACAATCGAATCATGTCTCACCAGGTTCCCTAACCAAACTAGCTTGCAACTTTTCACCACTGCTAAAAAAAGAAGATTCCCGATCTCCAGAAGAGCTGTTTATTTAGTCTTTTACATATGTGTTTGTTTGTTTGTTTGTTTTATATTCTACATAGCTAATTCGTAAAATTCGTCTATAGCATTTATGTTTGAAAGCCTGAATCCTCCTTTCCATATCTATGAGTCCATCTCTCCCATCCGCATACGAAAGAAGACAATACCAGTGAACACCATCTATTGACCTTTACTGCGATGCCGATATTGCTCTTACACATGGTATTCAGCTGGGACATTGCGGCTGCTGCCACATCAACGCTTACAAAGAGCACAGAATAGTTAGAGTGCGTTTCAGAAGTTGTACCCTCGCACCTTTTATAAATATATCGAAAGCTCCTATGGGAACAACGCAAGCTTTTGCATGTGGCCTACCATTTCCCACGTCTTTGTGATTTTATAATTTACGATCTTTTTGTGAGTCGCCGTGTCGTCGGCTGCTAGACGCCCGCCTGCGGATCGGAAGGTCGTGGGTTCGCGCCCTGATATTTCAGGATTTTTTTTTCAAGAATGACCTTGACGCCCAGGGTTACCTAGCCTTGAGTGGGTACCGGTGCAGTCATGGGAAGTAAAGGCGGCCGGCGTGTTGCTGACCACATCACCCACAAAGTGCCGATTGGTCTGTAAAGTTATTGGTCTAGTCCTGTATGCCTAATATGCCTAAAGGCATGGAAAGGGGTCCTTTACTTTACTTACGGGTGCTGTTGTTTTCTTAAAGCGGCGAATTTCAATGATCCCCGTTTGAATAACTGTTTGTTTAATCCTAAAAATAGAATATAGAATAATTGACACACACGGCAAGACTCCTTGGAAATCAGTCCACGCATGCAGCGATGGTTGGTAATTATGTTGATTGCTTATTTCCACATACAATGACAAATTGTGTTAATCACTGGAGGCTAATGCCTGAGATCACCACTTGAAACTAGGGGATTGGTAGTCTCGAGGCAAGGTATCCGCCTCAAGTGCTAGAGGTTCCGTGTTCAATCTCCGGTTAAGGCTGGGATTATGTCACGTGGACTTGGACTTCCCCCTGATCTCTGGGTAGTGAGATCAGACGCCCGTGTTTATTGCTGCGAAAATTTAAAAAAAATTATTGGCAGTTGAAAATCGCTGCCCTGGCAAAATTTGGAGTTAAAAATCGACCCTAAGTATTTCAGATCTTCACCGGTGCTGCAGAGCCTGTGCACTGTGCTGAGCTTCTTCGGACTCAGACCTGAGTTAGAAGAAGAACAGGGCACTTACGGGTTACACCCGTGTTCCATAATGTTGATCCCTTGTTAAAAACCTCAAACCTCAAACCACTTGAAAGTGAAACGCCTATGAAATGCTTGCAATTTGATATTTTGTAAAAAAGTTCCCGTTACTCAGTACTGAGTAATGGGAACTTTTTACAAAACATTAAATTGCACACATTTCAAGTGGTTTAAGGTTTTAGGTTTTGAACAACGGATCAACATCATGGCACAGGGGTGTAACCCATAAGTGCCCTGTTCTTCTTGCTGACTGCTTTGAGTCGGTGACCGCCCCCCCCCCCCTTTTCCATATACCGTAAATAAGGCAAAACGAAAATTAGATTTTCGTTTACGTTTAAAACCGAATTTCCACAAGGACATGATTATTACCAGATTGTATGCCAAATTTCAACAGCTTACACCGAATGGTTACTCAGTTACAGATTTTTAAAATGTTATCACGACTT